TCAAGAGTCCGATATATTACAGTTCCTCTCAGGCTCATAGTCGAGAAACTTATTACCTCGGACCTCGAGAGTCCGATACATTACAGTTCCTCTCAGGCTCATGGCCGAGGAACTTACTACCTCGGACCTCGAGAGTCCGATACATTACAGTTCCTCCCAGGCTCATGGCCGAGGAACTTAGTACCTCGGACCTCGAGAGTCCAGTACATTACAGTTTCTCTGAGGCTTATGGCCGAGGAACTACATGCCTCGGACCTCCAGAGTCTGGTACATTACAGCTCCTCTCTGACTCATGGCCGAGGAACTACACGGCTCGAACCTCAAGCATTCGGTACAATACTGTTCTTCTTAGGCTCATGGCCGAGAAATAAACATTCGCCTTTAGACCTCAAGAGTTCGAGTACCTCAAAGTTTCTTTAAGGCACAAAAGTGCCGCAGAACAAAATGACATGAACATTACCTTGAACTCAAAGAAATCGACAGTTAAAGTTTTTCATATCAAATCCTCTGAAGCACAGAGCAGTGTCGAGGGTATAAATTACCTCGGAATGCTAATCAGGAAAGTTGAAGCTAATTGTTCAAGAAAAACACTATGTTGATCTCCAGGATAATCATTAAAAATGATCACCGTCATTATTCATTAAGGCTAGTCACCCAAGCTAATCGCCAAGAGTGATCGTCGTCAATCTGAAAAAATGAAAGCGCCAATAGCTTAAACAGAAGAAGGCTTAACATAAGACGCCACCTCTAAGCATGGGGGCACCTTAACTATAACCTCCTCAGAAGCCTTGATTTTGGGTCTTTGTATTTTCCAAGAAGACAAATATAAGTCACTGCCTTCAAGGCATATTGTCTCAATTTTTCAATTTCCTCTAGTTATGACTGCCACGTCAAACTAAAGGGAATTGGGGGCCAAGTGTGGAGGGAAAAAATCCCCTCCAATAAGAATATTCCACGTCATCATAAATGTAAATCTATCTTCCAAAGGCCCGTCATGCTCAAGCCCAAATTGAGTGTATTTTTAGCCCAAGACCACTGTTATTTGTCTTCCAACCTCCATCAAGGCCGAATTAAGAGGTCATCAGTCTAACTTTTTAATATTTAACATCCATCCCGTTATTCAAGCCCAGCCGGATCAAAGTATATTCAGTCCAATTTTCCAAGATTGAACAAGTCCTATCGGTAGAGGGATTTACCATAAAAGGAGAATTCTTTTATAGGAAGTTCCATACAAGGCAAGTTCTGCGTAGGAAATATTATACAATAGAAATAACTCTATTTGTAAATAAAGTCATGTATGGGAAGAATTGGAGGACAAGTAACGCGAGTCCTACCTTAATTCTACCAATTTTTATATATAAATAGAGGCCTAGACCTCCAATAAAAGGATCAATCAATTATACGTTTTTCTATACATTGTTCTTATTTATTTCTATTGCTTTTTGAGTGAGTTGTTTTATTTTTCTCAATCATTATTGGTTTAGCGAAATTTTGCACCTACAGGGGGGGTCAAAATTATAAACAACATTACCTAGCTAGAATTTTGGAAAAAAATATATATATTATGTAGGCAAAAATATTTTACTATTTATTATATTCATACAAAAATATATCTATTTAAACTTTTTTTTAATTTATTTAAATAAATAAAAAACTAGTTATTTAAATAAATTTTTTATCAAACGTTCTGAACAAACACAAATAAAATTTATGCCAAAATTATAAAAAAATTCAATTAAATAACTCTTTTTATTTACCGAAATGAAAAAAAAAACAAAAATAACTTTAAAAAAATGTAACAATTGAAAATTTAACAAAATAATAACAATGATAAAAAATAAATAAATAAAAGCACAAACAAATTAATAAAATAAAATTTTAGATTCTTAAATTATCGATTTTTGTTGATATTCAAAACTTCAAATGAAATTTTTGTTCTTAGATTTTTTAAAAATTAATTTCTTATAGAATTCTTATAAAAGCATTTCAATAAAAATGAATAAAAAGAAAAAAAAAAAAAAAAGTGATGTAAAGAATCATTTATGAAATGGAATTTTAGAATAATAAGGTTATGGAAAGAATCATGCTTGTAGTCACATTATGGAAAAAACGGTATTTGAATTGAAATTTTAAGATAACCACATTAAATTTTTATGTGAATCAATTTTTATCGGGATTCTATAGTCGTTAATTAAACCACTATATAAACTGTCTTTTGTTAAATTCTAATTAAAGAAATATTTTTTTTTCTTAGGGGGGCCAAGTATAAATTTTATTCTATATATACTATATTATTTTAATTTTTACCTATACTAAAAAAAAATTTCCAAAAAATTAGGGGGGGCCATGGCCCCCGCCGGCCCCCCTTCCCTCTGCCCCTGCTTCCAGACCTTCTTGGTGAATTACATCAGTGATATAACATGATATATATATATATATATATATATATATATATATATATATATATATATATATAGGTCATTCAATATTTCTATCAAATAGATTTATGTTTGGTTGAACTTTCGGAAAAAATAATAAATAAATAAATTTAATAATTTTTAATTTAAATAGTATAAACTCTTCACCTCGTCAAAGATTGACTGTTTGAATACTAATGAATTAAAAATATATCGTGAATATATATTTGTTTTGAAAAAAAAAAAAAAAAAATTACCCCTCTGAAAAAGCCACCCAAACAAACTGAACATGTGGCCAAAATAACAACCTCTCCATGTTATAGTGGAAAGATCATACAAAGACAAATTTGCGTCATTGCAGAAATATGATGGAAGACTCTTAAGCACAGGCGCACCAGAACTTTAGGTAAGCGGGTAAGATTGAAATTATTGAAATTTTGTAATAATTTCATAAGGCATTAACAATATTTTACGAGTATATATTAAAAAAAATTAAAAAATAGCATGATATATTAATATAAAAAAAATTTCTGGGGCAATTGCCCCTCCGTCCCTGCTCTTAAGTGCAATTGAAACATTATTATTACTATCTTTAGAGTTCAAGATTTAACCTTATAAACATTCTGAATTCTTAAGACAAAATGAAACTCCAACTTTCCATTCACTAATAAGAACTATTTGTGTTATAAAATAAAAAATTAATGATTTCAAAGACATTTTAATAGATTATATATATATATAGATACATATAAAATTTTGAAACGAAGTTACATCGTAATAATTGCAACACAACCTAAATTACAGTCATCATTCTTTTTGTGTTCCATTTTGGGCTCACTTCCTTTATATTTCCTATTATTCACGTATTTGCATGGTTCTAGTTCACCAGATAGCTTATTTGGTGGACTAGACTATATAATCAAGGCAAAATGACCTCTTATATATAAGCTGCCATGTCAGCACCAAAAGACGAAAAAACTTAACTAAGAGAAACTGCTTGTTATCCTGCGTTTTGCATCATCCAAAGTTTTCTTTGGTTTCATTTTCCTGCTTTTTGCATCATTCAAAGTTCATCTCTCTCTCTCTAAACCATTCCATCTAACCTACCTAACCTTCATTCTTATCTAACAAATTATTCTGTGCTTTGTTTTTCCTTTTTCACCCATAAGCATCAACATAACAAAATTTAATGCTCTGTTATTTCTCTTTTACCCATAAGCATCTCAGGTACAATCCTGCTCTTCTATTATCGAAAAATTATTGATATTATTTTTCTGTTCTATATCTTGCTCTGTTAAAATATTTATATATTTTTTATTTTTATATTATTGATATTATTTCCGTGTTCTGTTTTCCTCTTTTCCCATAAGCTTATGAATTACTTCCTTTATATATTACTAAATATGATTTCCAATAAGATATGTAGATTAAAATATTTAAAACTTGAAATTAAGGCTTTATTGCTGGAGTTTTGTTCAGTGTGAATTTGCTGGGGACTGCTTTTTGTTGGTTTTGTTGCTCATCTGCTGCCATGGTTTTGTTCAACATCAGAGTCTTGTTTTTTCATGTCAAAGCAGGATGAGAACATTGAGTTTTTGTTTTTGCTTTCATGTTTTATCCTTTTAGTCTTAGACTTGGATTGTTTCTTTGATAATGGAGTTTACTTCATTTCTTAGCTTGCATTGGAGGATTTTGAATCCTTTTGTAATTGTACCATTTTCCCTTATATATAAAAACAAAAAACATCTCCCGTGGGGTGGTGATCAACAAGGGAACTCCTACGGGCAAGTCGAAACTAAGCGATTCGACAATGAAACTCTTCAAGCAATGCAAAAAAAGGCAAGGTCAATAACCTTGACTTGGCAGAACCAACTGAGAAAGCATCGGTACTTACTTATTTGAATATTAAGGCAGGTGAGTTCGAATCCCATTTTCTAAGGCACAGAAGCGTAAAATTAGGTGAAATTAAGAGAATTTTCAATCTGGTCGAATTCTAGATTTCATGATTTAGAATTTGAAGTTGTGGTAAATCTCCAACTTCAAAAGACTATATATATATATATATATATATATATATATATATATATATATATATATATCACACACACATATATGTGTGGTTAAATGTGTGATGAGTGGGCTGAACATCACATATTTAACTGTGAAATATAAAAAATCAAAATTTAAGTTATATGAAATAAGAGGAATTTCAACTTGCTTATCTGAGCATTATTGACAGACAAATTGATTTTATATTGGGTTGTGTTTTAACTTCTATGTATTCTTCTTTTTATTTATATACATAATTTTTCATCTCAGCTATGATTTTTCCTCTTTTTATAATGCGATTTAAAATAAGATGTTGAATGAAAATTTTAATAATATATTGTATCACATCCTGATTCACATAATAATCTTTGATAAAAATAAATAACAAAATTTGTTAATAAACATCTTTAAAATCAGAATTACAGTTTTCTTTCTCATTATTTTAATTTGAACCTAATATGACACATTGAGGTTGCTTTAATTGAAGAATGTTTTAACATTATTATAGTTTTGATCTTATGTCATACAACCCTAATGGAAAAATCATCATGCACCAATGAAAAAATCATTGATGTTAACAATGACAACAACCCTTATGTTACATATCAGAGTGATGATAATTTTGATCTAAAAGTTGGAATGCTGGTTTATAGTGAGGAAGAAGCTTATAATCTCTTCAATGGGTATGCTATAAACAAAGGGTTTAGTGTGCGGAAAGGCAAAGTTCGGAGGTATGAAGGCACAGGTGGTTTGCGACAACTCATCTTTTTGTGTTCATGTGAAGGATTTAAAGAAGATAGTTCACCTTTTGAAGATAAAAAGTTTGAAAGAATGCTAACTAGGACTGGTTGCAAAACTCGTGTTGTATTTAATGTGAAAAATGGTGTTTGGGAATCAGTTAAATTCATTTCTGAACATAACCATGCACTTGCAAAGCCTGAACAAAGACACTTGTTGAGGTCAAGGCGAAAGATATCCAGCACTAGTGCCGCTGTCTTGAGTTCCATGTCCAAAGCAGGTATAAGAGCAACCAAGGCATACTCATACTTATCTAAAGAAGCCGGTGGAGTTCAAAATGTTGGGTTCACAGAACGTGATTATCACAACTTTTTACAATCCGAAAAATCAAAATCAATAGAAGTAGGGGATACTCAAGCTCTCATTAATTATTTCAAGTCCAAGCAATCAGAAAATTCAATGTTCTTTTACACAATTCAAGTGGATGATCAAAATTGAATGACTAATTTTTTTTGGAGAGATGGTTCCTCCAAATTAGATTATCAATGTTTTGGAGATGTCGTGATATTTGATACCACCTATCGCACAAATAAATATAATATGATTTGTGCCCCTTTTGTTGGAGTAAATCATCATTGGAAGAATGTACTATTCGGTTGTGCTTTTATATTGAATGAAACCACAACTTCTTTTGTGTGGTTATTTGAAGCATTTCTAGAGGCTATGGGAAATAAGGCTCCTAGAACAATTTTCACTGACCAAGATGGTGCAATGGCAAATGCTATACGTAAAGTGTTACCCAACACACGATATCGCCTATGTACATTGCGTATATTGAAAAATGCGGCCCAAAACATTTTTACTTTGTTTGCAAATCCAAGGTTCAAGGAGAAGTTCAACAAGCTTTTTTATGGTTGTGAAACTAAGGAAGAGTTCAAGTCCACCTGGGGGAAGTTAAATGAGGAACATGACATTGTAGGAAATAAATGGTTGAGTAAATTGTATGACATTTGTGAAAAATGTTGCCCAGCTTTCAGTCGTGATACATTCTCGGCCGATGTTACATCAACACAAAGAAGTGAGAGTACAAATAATATATTTCAACATATTACTTGCAAGACCATGACTCTTACTGAATTTATGAAGCATTACGATGAAAGTGCAAGCCGAATGCGTGAAATTGAAGTGAGTGATTATTTTTCATCTACTAGAGGTATGCCTCCCATACTTATACCTAATAATGGTATTTTAATACATGTAGCTCAGGTGTATACACATACCATTTTTAGAATGTTTCAAAGTGAGTTCTTAACCGCACTAAATGAAGAGGTTATATGGATTGATTCTGTTTGGCCACTTGTCATTTATACTTTAAAAAAAATGGGTCGTCATCGAGAGCATATGGTAGAATTTCATTATTCTAATTTCATTGTTCGGTGTAGTTGTAAAATGTTTGAATCTTTGGGCTTGTTGTGTCGACATAGTTTAAGGATATTAAATCTTAATGCCATCCAAAAAATTCCAAGTGAAAATATATTGAAGAGGTGGGCAAAAGGTGCAAAGGAAGGGATTATCATTGATGAGTATCGTGAGCCATCCTAGAAGGCGGTATCATCATCAAAGACAATATTCTTGAACAAGCTCATGTGCAAAGCTTTTAATGTTATGAGTTTAAGTGCTTATAATGAGGAAACATTTGCAATTGCTAATGACCATCTATACCAAATTGTGCAAGAAGTTAGAAAGATTAAATCAAGGAATGTGATGAATAGTTGTGATTCTAATAGAGTTGATGTTGTGAATGAAGTAAATGACTCCATTGGTGAAAAGGTGGTGTTGGATCCTCCACATATGAGGCCAAAAGGGGTAACATATGGTAGGCTTAAGGACTGCTTGGAGAAGTAAAAAAAAAAGGCAAAAAAAATGGCAACAAATTCCCTAAGAGAAGATATTTCATACATTCTACATGCTCTCAACAAATGAGTTCTAACTCTCACAATAAGGTACAATATAACACAAAGTGTATGTATAGTCATATAAAGATTATTTTATAATAATTATTTATTTATTAGGTCTATTACAATTTGTCATACAGGTTTTTGGATATCATAATTGCCCTTTTGGAAACTTTCAACAAATACACTCTTTTATGTCAAATTGGAGTCAGGTAAATTTTTTTTTTTAAACTTAATTGTGTGCTTCAATTGGACATAAAAGTTTTACACACATCATTTTCATATATGTATTTGTAGGTGTCAAACAACAATGTTATACAGAATCAAGCAAGCCATAGTTTTGATAACATTAATCAGGTATGAACTTTTCACATTCATTTTAGGCATGAATAAATGTTTTAATTTTCCTTTATATTCTAACTTTTATGTCTTTTAATCAATTTTGTTATTTTTGTAGTTGTTGAGAAATGATGCCATGGAAAATAGTGGGAATTCCTAAAAGCTATATGAGCATTTGTTCTATTCCTTTTGATTTGATAATTCTATCCTTGTGGCTTTCTTGATAAAAAAAAGTTCATTTTGCTCTTTTAGTTATGCTGCTCAATGCTTTTGCTCTTGGCTATGCTGCTCAATAGTCCATAGATTGATAGTTTTTGTTTTTTTAATGGAAGATGAATCCCCATTTTGATGTACAAGATTCTTATTGGATTTTCTTTTCCATTCCAAAAGTGTTTGTGCACGCGCAAATATGTAAGAGTGTAATTATGAAACCTTCAAGGAGATGAAGGTTTAAATGATAGCTCCATGGACATTCAACAAAAACCTGGATAGGTTACAAAGCCAAAGTTTTGCTTTTCAAACACTGTTATAAGCATGTTCTGAGCTAAATTTCTCTTAATACTATTACATCTTCAAGCTAATGCTTAAATCTAGGTGCTATGGAGTTTGGCAGGCTAGGGATAGGGAGTGGTATATGTGTGTGTGTGTATATATTTATTTTTTTCCTTTTCTTCAAAGCACAAGTATTGTCTCCAATATTGAAATGCCTTGCTGAATTGTTGTTTGGATTAAGAAAGTAAAGATCCTCAAATACTCCTTTATAGTTGTAAGCTAAGCCCAGTTTGTTATACATTTCCTTTCTTTAAAAAAATTTATGCACTTGCTACTCAGTATCATCCAAAAGAAAAGTGTTCATGAAATTACCTACTCAATACTTGATTATTTTTTGTATCGCATATTATTCAAAATAACAAAAGAGGAGTGTAATATATCTTCTTCCTTATTTCCTATCCTCTCTTAATGTAGAGGAAAACAATACACGAGAGGCCATTCATGCATTTCTTGTTGCAATAAGAAAGAAAAATCGAATTACATTATTCATAACCTTAGCTATTTGAGGGGGATATTATTGGATGGCCAAAGAACAATACAATAGCATCCCTTTTTGTGTTCTTGCCTAGAACGCAAGGCTCCAAAACCACACCAGTATGGCAATTGTGAGTGGTTTCATGTTATTGGAGGAAGGTGAGATTTTAAACTCTGAGCACACCATGGAATTAGCCATTGCAGGGGATAAGTATTCTGGATTTGCATTGCAAGTAATTTCATCCCACAACTTGCCATTGGACTATTATGGTGTAAGCCTGGGCAATTTACTTTTTCATCAACAAATATAATTCAAGGATAGGGCTAAAGTTCTTGAATATGATAACAAGGATGCCACATACAAAAGCCAAACTTTTTATGCAAGAATTTTTTTTTTGATACAACCATAGAATTAAACACAAATCCAGAATAAATATGCTAACCAAACTATAGATTTTGAGATTTGAAGAGTGATTTAAGAACAGATTAGGTTACATAATTGGCTTATACCAAAATTAAGGGTTTAAAGACTTCAAAAATACTTGTCAAAAGAGAATTGTATGTCATACAAAAAAAAAAAATACTGAGTATTACCATTCTGAAAAGAAAATAATAATAATTACTAAGAATTCTAGGATAAAGTAAACTATATACTCATCAGTGGATAACAAGAAGTACAACCACCTATCTCAAAAGGCTTTCTGCAGAGGAATGAAGCCAAATGAAGAGAGATTTCTAAAGAGAGAAAGGTAGCCAAAAGAAAGACAATTATAGAGAGAGAAAGCAAGTTAGAAGAAAGACAATTCTAGAGAGAGAAAGCAAGACAGACTGAACTATCGGTGTTTCCACCTGTTTCCCAAACCGGCCGATCCCAAACTACAACCCGTAGTCATTTCCACCACACGAACACTGCCAATGAAAAATATGTCATCAATGGCGATTTTTGCACCATAAACTTTTAGGGGAAATGCACTAAACGGATGGGGTAATGGCTGCAGACAGACTGGTGTATGTGTAAAGGGGAGGGGAAGAGAGAGAACGACTCCAGTGAAAGATGATTGGGATTTTTTTATGAGATAGGAAAGAAGAAAAAGGGATGAAATGCTGAGGAGAGATTTTAGGCGTTGGTTGATTTTGTCTCAAAATAGATTCTTGGAATTGATTAATTTTGAATTCAAAATTTAAACTTAGAAAGAGAATTTTATTCAAGCGGGAACGAAATCAGAAAGAGGGAAAACGAGATCAGAAAAAAGGGAAAACGTCTGTTTCTCTCCGTTAAATTCTTTGTCTATGCTGACATGGCAAGTTATATAAAAATCTGACATGACAACTTATATAAAGAGCTCATATAAGTTGATTATATAGCCTAGTCCACCAAATAAGCTATCTGACCTGGTGGACTAGGACCATGCAATAACTTCTCCCATTTTGGGCTCACTTCCTTTACATTTCCTATTATTCACGTATTTGTCATTTTAGTGTTGTGGAACGTAATTTGGCTGCGAATTATGCTATTAGTGTTAAAGATATTGCGCATCAAGATTTCATATTTTATATATATATATATATATATATATATATATATATATATATGAAATCTTGATGCGCAATATATAATACTCAAATTAATGTATACATCGGTTTTATAAATTCAATAAAAATCAAAAATTTCTTTATTACATTGGTATATGGGAGGAAACTAAAATTAAAGAATTGTTTTTTCTTATACCACTAGATGGTTGTAACAATATAGATGTTTTAATTAATGAAATATGGATATGTTATTTTGTTTGTTGTTGTTTTTGGTTCTCCGTTCCTCGATGTTGTTACTGTGGAGCTCTATCCATTTTCATGCACGTTGTACATACTTTTTTCTTCATTTTTACAAGTTGACCCATTCAATTAAAAAAACATCATTATTTGACTGTTGACTAGTTTTTGGAAGATTTTATTTGAAGAGAAATATCATATATTGGAGAGTAATAAAGGAATTTTTGGAAGATTATTTGAGAGTAATGAAGGAGTTGTAAATTGTTAATTTTGGTATAAAGTTGTATGTTAAAATTGATATATTCCATCATTTCTTTGTTTAATAAGATAAGCAAAAAGTTAAAAAATGTGATTGGTGGGAAGAAATGCAATGGAACTATAGACAGGATAAAGAAATATTTTACCTTC